GAGTAATGAGAGGAGAAATCAAGTGTACAGGCAGCAGAACTCAAATATCCTCTGACTGGCCTACAACGTGACCCACTTTCTCACGGATGACGAGACTGTGACGCTGTATTGTAAGTTCCTCGTGCCAAATTTATAGAGTAAAAATTGTTTTTCTTCATTAAAAACGAAATTTACTAAACTTTCAGTTCCAAATTGGGAATAAATTAGTTGTAAAACAGGATTAAATTGTGAATTTTCCCTATTCTGATTCAATAAACCATCATAGCATTAAACTATCACCAGAGCTTGCTACGGTCACCTCAACTCTGAACAGTGCGTCACACCTCATCTACGATGCAGCTCTTCTTAACGAATCTTAATAACATTCAAACAAATAAAATTTAATATCACTTCATGTTTTTCATAAGAGGGCACACACCAAAAAATGGTAGCCGTTCAACCGAAACTTTCTTCATAATTTTGAGGATAATAAGCATATAAGAGAGTATACATATTTTTTGCTTTACTTATTAATTTATTGTGTGCTACAGCTGGTCTGAACAAATAACCAATTTCAAATAATAGAACTGTATATCGTTTGTACTCATATATTGTATGTGTTGAATAAGTCACTTTTAATGACTTGAAAGTGTGATGTCATAATGTCCAGGCATTTGGGAATTGCTGCAGGACAGATTCATGTTTTATGTACGCTCTGCAAAGTCCCAAGATCCAGCGTAGCATTCCACAGCTCCTTGCTTCTTATTTATTGATTTCATTGCTGAAATAAATGCTTAATAATTATTAGATATAACAGAAAACCATAAATGATTGATTTATATGTCCACGATGACCGCGCTGCTGCTCGCCATCGCTCTCCACTTTGGACAGACAAATTTGCTCAAAATTCCGGCAAATACTGTCAGAAAGATTTTTTATTCCATCTTTCCAATACATATGACAAAGTTCTTGTTGCATAATGCAACAAGCCAATTACAATAAAACATCTACAAACACTTCTAGATGAGTATATCCTTCACTAGTTTTCTACTTGAATTAGAAAATTCTTCAGATATTTAGAAAACTATTACTAGAGGACTAACTAAATAATTCAAATAGAACTATCAATGGATTGCATTGAGGATATAATCAAACTTTTGATAGTGCATTAATTCTACTGCATTATATGCGACAAGTCAAGCGAATAAAATTAGGTTATCACTAAATGAAAATGTTATACAAGGATACATCAATTTCATAAAACAATAAGTTTGAGATTTACCCTGCGTCGAAATATTTCTTTATCTTCAGTTGTCCTGATATCCTCTTAAGAGATATTTTCTTTAATCAGCGGACTTTAATTGATGTAATCACGATACTTGTCCAATAATTATGCCATTTAATATCATAACGACTTTCTTATAGCTATTTTTATACGCTGGAAACTCGATTCCAAAATTAAGATAGATACCCATAAATATATTATTACATATTATGCCTCTGGTGCGCAAAAAATATCTATTATATTTTCTTTGTCAGATTTTGAATCGTGGGGAAGTAAATTTGAATTCATCAAGTGGATACATTTTAGGAGAAAGTGAGAATAAAGGTTCAATTGATGATTCAAATGAAAGTTGAAGATTATATTTTATTTATTTATATACAAATGCATACGAATTTTTCTAGCAATATTTATATTATAATTTGATAAATGTACAATTATATTTTGTTTGCCGTAAAGGCAAATTTCTGGGAGATTGGATTGGTAACGAAGATATTATATATAATTGGTAAATTATATGAAATAAATATATTAAATGATAATTGTTTGAATGATAGCAAAGCAGGTAATGTCATCATATTTATTTACATATGGAACAGTACAAAGCAACTTAACCGACAAATGATTGACCGAAAGCTGTAGCTAATTACCTTGCACTGTAACTACCCTCGATAAGGTAATTATCTTTATACACTTTATGAACATGCAACGAACATGAGTTTCTAGAAGTGATCATGTTCAATGTTATTTATAGGCCGTTGAAATTATCCACAAATATGCCCTGTACCCACGCATAATAAATCAATAGGTTCACTAACATCACGGTATTTCATAAAGCATTCAAATCTGACCACTATCTGACGCAACAACTCACCCTGGCATCGGAGCTATAATCCTATAAGAGAGGAACCAGTACGCCAGTCGGGATCAGCAGCTTGACTGACGGCTGCCACAAATTTATCGACCACGTCGAAGCTGGTCGCGCTTAATCTCAGCGGTCTGATTGCCAGTGCTGGGAAATTTGCATACTACTTCATTACAATCAACAAACTCACAATATAGAAATATGCAACATTTCCTGCATTATTTATTTGTTTTATGATGACGCATGACGGCCAGAATGATTTGATGGAGATAGTTCGCTGCCAGATTTTAGTTTAGTTAGCTATCAATTTTACAAATTATTAAACAATATAGTATGAGAATAAAGGAGTTCAATTCCCCTATTTTTCATCGGCTGCAAAGTTGAAATGTTGATAGAATATTAAAAACTTGAGAAGTGTTCAATTTCTACTTTGAGTCAGAGGAAAATATTTTAGCAATAACATTTACAAAAAAAATATGTTGTAATTTTGTTCCTTTCCAGATTCCAGGCTTTGATTGCGGAAGGAAATATTTCATATTTTTAATAGTTTTTTGGAGCCGCAAGGCCATGCGATCGTAATGGGAGGTTAAGAGAAGCCTCCATGCTTGTACCCGACTGTCCGCTGACTTGTCTACAACGTGACCCACTTTCTAACGGATGACGAGACTGTGACGCTGTATTATAAGTTCCTCATGCCAAATTTATCGACCAAAGTTTGTTTTTCTTCATTAAATACGAATTTTTGTTAACTCTCCTTCTCAAATTGGGAATAAATTACGTACGAAAAGGATTAAATAGTGAAATTTTCCTATTCTTGTTAGAAAACCTTACTGAAAAAAATATTTGTCAGATTCATTAAACTATCTGAACATTAAACTACCACCAGAGCTTGCTACGGTCGTAGCAAGCACATTCTACGATGTGAATGTGCTTTCTTTCCTTCTTGATTATCTGATGGTAGTCTAATTGCAGATTAGAATGGGAAATTTGAAATGATCCAATTCATAAGATAGGTATTGACTTACTTCGAACGGCGGTCATAGTCTTTGGTACACAACAAGTAATTCTCTATATGTTCCGTAGTTCGATTGCTTGATAAATATCGCTCGTTTTCTTTACATGGTGACGTGACCGACAGGCAACCCACAGCAGGCATCAGTTGAAGGTTTAGTTATTCCGGCACATAAATGAAATATTGTATATCAAACTGCGTATAACGCATTAAGAAGATTACGAGTTTAATAAATTTTCATGATGTACAGAAGTACTTTTCTCTGGTCCTGGCACTGGACAGCAAGTCTTGCACAAATATGGCCCGAATAAATACGGTCATAGATAACTTGTTTGTGTATCTGAATGCCGATTGGCTGAACAAATAACTAGATTTTGTTCGGTCTGGGCTCCTGTCGTTTTCTGTGGAAGTGAAAAAATTTAATCTCCCACACGAATATATGTATAATATATGGCAGACAGATTGTAATTACTGAATTCAAATTACGAATTCACTCAGTTCGTAGAGAATTAAGTAATCCTATATTATCGCAGGTAGTACATATTATGTCTAATATATATTGAGAGACTGCAAAGGAAGTGCCACAATCGTCATTTTCTAACGAGTCCAAATTCTGGGTATACTGTAAGATAATAGATCCCGTTGGTAAACTTTCAGTTGCGTAATTTTCAAACAACTGCGTGGAATACATTATTGAGTTTATCAACAAACTCATTTTATGCATTATTTATTTGCATTATGATGACGCTTGTTCAGCCAGAATGATTTGATGATGATGATGAAGCATTTCTTCAATTTAATTCAGTTATCCATCAATTTGATATATTATGAAATTGTTATAATCAAACAATAAAAGAATTTTTACCCCATTTTTCGTCAGCCGTGAAATTAAAAATAAATTTGTTCCCAGAAAATCGTAAATAAAGTCCAGTTTATCCCGCTAATCATGAATAAATATCCTGATCATTTTATGTACAAAACATTATGAAAATATTCCGTGCCGACACAAATTCTCTCTAGTTTCATACTTAAAAAAAAAATTTAATTATGAAAAAGAATTATTTGGAGCCGCATGGCTTAATATGCCGTAGATATCAAGTCTAGTATATATTGAGTCTATTGAATTGAAGTGATGCTATTGTTAGTATCTCATTAGTCCAATATCTGATGATATTGTGAGTAAGTAGCTTCCGTCACGGCGTTGATAAACTTTCAGTTGCGTAATTTCCCAATAACTGCGTGGAATAAATTCTTCAGTTGATCAAAAAACTCGCAATATTGAAGCCGGCAGCATTTCCTGCATTACTTATTTGTATTATGATGACGCTTGTCCAGCCAGAATTATTTGATAAAAGCATTCCGATTTTTGACTTTAATTGAGCTATCAATCAATTCAATAACTTTTTAAGTGTTAAGATCGCACAATTAAAAACTTTATTTCCTTATTTTCCGTTAGCTTCAACGTTAAAATAGTTTTTATGAGCAAAAAACGTATAGCTATTCAGTTTTTTGTATGAAACATGAATAAATGTTTTGCCAATTGTATATACAAAATATGTGAACATTTTATACGTACTGAAATTTCTGCTGTAATAAATAATAATTAGAAAGAGAAAAAAGTTGTAGAATCATTTGAAGCCGATGGGCACTCTCAAGCAGACACGACTGCGACACTGTATTATAAGTTCCTAACGCCAAAATTATCGACCAAAATTTGGTTTTCTTCATTAAAAAACAAATTTAAACAAATTTTCTACTCAAAGTAGGAATAAATTAGCAGTGAAAAATGATTAACTTGTGAAATTTCCCTACTCTTTGTAGAAAATCTATCGGAAAAAATATTTTTCTGTTTCGTTAAACTATCACCAGAGCTTGCTACGGTCACCTCAACTCTGAACAGTGCGTCACACCTCATCTACGATGCAGCTCTTCTTAACGAATCTGTCAGGTGACAATACCGAACTATAATCCAAAAGTATATTCTATAATCATTTACGCTGTTCCTCTATAATAGTCTATATCCTCGGATCCCGCTACAACAGAACCATCCCTCAGGTCATGCTAATTTAACATTCATGTAAGAGGTGCATAGAAAAGCAACATCTGACCAATCTTAATAACATTCAAACGAATAAAATTTAATATCACTTCACGGCGCATTTCTTCCATCTATAAGTTCAGAATGTTTCCGCATTAAGAGGAATCATCCTAATATAAGTTTATAAGGTTGCTTGCTATGAGACTGCCTCCTCCCAACCGTGGGACAACCTGAAAGTATCAAGATTTTAGTCAATACATAAGGTAAATCAAAAGATATCTGAAACACCACCAGCATACTAAATTAATTAATTAAATTATTTAAAATCTCCTCCATTCTTTTTAATTTTGACGTTCATCTATACGACTTGAAAAAGGCATTCTTCTATCTCAAGCTCATTAGGCACAAAATTACGATCATTTTTTTATATTTCTATTTCTTACTTGTTGACAGTCGTGTTGAACCGATCAAAATTGTTAATTGATGTTATGTAAATAACTGTAAATTAGAATTATTACTGGAATAACTGCGTTTTCTCATTTGTCTGCGAGAAGTTTCATTACAATTTAAAACATTGCATTCAAATATTGAGAATGTGATAGGTATGATCAATGCCTGGAAGATATCGATTAGATAAAATTCGATGGTTAAGAATGGATAACAATTCAGTTTTAGTCTATCGATCCAGAGACGGTGTCAGAAGCGATATACGTTAGGATTAATAAAATTTGCAATCTTATTACAATATAATTATATACCTAATATAATACCATTCCAATAATATATTATTATACCAACGAGGGCTTCAAAAGAAATCAAGTTACATGCATGAATGACTGCCTCGCATCAGACCTCCCGAGCAGCCACGGCCCTCAAGGTCTCAATAACGGATTCATGACTCAAGAAAGCTGAGTTTATTCACATGTTGGCAATAAAGTTCATACGTCGCACACACGTAACACGCACACTCACTGCAGGTAGGCATGCACTATCTTTAGATGATATTTTACTGAGATCTAGTATAATAAGTTTATAAGTGCAGGATTGTGTAAATTAATGCATTTCATAATTCTATAGTCTCCCATAAAAATTATCTGAAGAAAATTATCATGAATCACAAAAAAAACTGTAGCATAAACCGCAGTAAATCTACCTGTGCGATCCAGTCAACTACAAAAATGGTAAAATAAAATAAAATACATACAAATATATGAACGGTCTCCAAGTGATTTCTGTATTAGCAATAGAATGTATTTTAGTTTGATTTTTTGGCGATAATCTAGTGAAATTATAGTGACTACAGCAATTAAAAATAATAGTATTAAGATTCTATGAGATATCGTTTTTTTCTTTTGAATTGCAGAAAGCTGATTTGCACGCATGCATTTTTTTGACTGATTAATAATTTTCATAAAATATACATTAGGAACAATACATAAGTTCATGCTACGTTACTTCTACTGAATGTGTCGTGTTGAGATGATGCCATGTGTTGAAAATATTGAAGAAATAGCACGCCGTACCATAGTTATGGCGAGTGGGTCGCCAGCAGTTATGATGCGCTATTGCAACATCGCGACTGAGGGCGACTCTGCCAAAAGCGTGTGTGGGTGGGTGGTGTGGTGTTGGGTAAGTAAGTAGTATAGGTGGTGGTTTTTGGCAAAGAGATTAAATAAATAAATAAAATATATAGATATTTAATAAATTTCATTTCTGAGGAGAATTATCCTGAATCCCGAGTTGGAAGGTATGTTTTTAAGCAAAGTATCGATACTATTTTGCTATTCATTTAATCAATAAACAATCTTTCTCCTATTTGATTTGCCAATGCGTCATAGTATTTTTATCTATAAGGCAGTATAAACAAAACTTAACATTCTAACTATTTGCGAAGGCATTGGAAAAATTCTCTTTTTTATGAGAAAAATTCAGATATTAGCATCAACTGGCAACATCATTCATTCGTTTTTCTGACAAATAAATATTCTTTCATCGCAAAATGTGCAACATTTGTCAGCGTTTTCAAAGCACGGGACGCGAAAATGTTCAAAAGCAGCGCCGGCTTGAGTTGCTGGTCTCTAGCCCTTCTTTAAAATAACTCTCATTGTGATAACGCTTCTAAAGGATCCACCTTACATTTATTCTCTTTGATATCATATGTTCCTACACGCGAGGCTTGAAAGATTAATGCTCAATTTGTAATACAGCCCTAATTAACGATATAGACAAAATAATAGCTTGCCACCGCCTTGCTATGCAATACTTACCATTTTATTAGCCTAATTAGCTCCAAAATTATTTTTACTTTCCTTCTATTTCTCCAGTGAGAGTCGTGAGCTGTGTGACCGTATAAAACTTTGAATCGATGTGGTATAAATACACGTGACTAGTATTCAGAACTCAAGTTTCGGATTATTCTCTCCCAAAAGTACAAAAATTGTTAGTAGTTATTCAAATATCATTGCAGTCATGGAAGATAAAATTCATTAAATATGCAACTATGACAAAATATCCTGCAAATTGCTCAACATATATGAGCGGGTAACTAAATCAATTATCATGATACGGAGCCGGAATTACTACAGTACACAACACGTGTCAGGAAGAATAACTATTCGAAATTTCATTTCCTATGCATGATAATATAACTTTATTGCGATGTTTACTATTTTTTTTATATTCTGCGAGGCCTTCAAATGAATCAATATACATGCACGAGGTCACTAACCTAATGAGTCAGTAGCAGACCTCGCTCACGAATTCATGACGTCATTCATGACTCAAGAAAGCTGAGTTTATTCGCATGTCACGAATAAGTTCATGCACTCACACACGCAACACGCACTCACAGCAGATAGGCTAGATGCCATATGTTGAAAATATTGAAGAAATAGCACGCCGTACCATAGTTATGGCGAGTGGGTCGCCAGCAGTTATGATGCGCTATTGCAACGTCGCGACTTGAAACGCTCGGCCTCAAGCTTTAAATAATTTTTTTATTCATATGAAAAAATGGAAATCAATTATTTCCAGTAGGACGCAAGCAACAACGTTCGAGAATAAGGTTGACTATCCTGAGTATTTTTACAGTGTACTTTTTTACCTTACGTACATCGATGCTCATTGTAATGTAATAAATCTGCGTATTTTAGGCTGTAGGCTTGTGTCACCGATTCTCATTATCGCAGAATATTCACAGCTTGTTGCGGTCTCGAGCACGCAACTCACTGCTCCATTTATGACAGTCTGAACTGTAACCACTGGGCCACACTGTCACCCTAACATTAATTTAACAAATTATTAATTTCAATTATAATTGACTGATTAAAAATTCGTAATTTTTTATTTGTGCAAGAATCTTTCTATGAACCAGCATTTAATAACTACCTTATATTCTAATTATTTACTGGCTTGAGGAAAGATTACTTTTAATTATGAGACAAAGGCAGATATTATCCTTAATATCATTTGTGATGCTGACAATCATTCCATCATAAACTTTATTGTTTTTCAGAGCAGTTATAGGGTTTAAATAAAAAACTTTTATGTCATGAAGGAAAATTTTATTCAACGAGACAAGAGCTTAGCACGACACAAGCGATGAATGGAGGGGGGGGGCACATCTGACCCCCCAACCCCCCAAGTACCGCTATACATTTACAGTAGCGGAAGCGGCGCTACATTTAAACAATTGTAGCGGTAGCGGTAGCGTCCGCTACATTTAGAGCATGTAGCGGTAGCGGCCGCTACATTTCAAAGCGGCCCAGGTCAGCTTGATTGTGTTTCTGAATGCCGAATGGTTGACCTTAGAAGTAGATTTTCTTCGGCTTACCTTCTTTCCGTTTTCTGTTGAAGCAAGAAAATTTTATCTAATAATCAAAAATATTTATGGAGGACACATTAGATTAACTTCTTTCAACGAATTAATTCAGTTAGTGGAGGATTGATTAAAACTTTCTTTCCACAATTATTCCATATTAAGTTTATTACATATTGAGTGACTGCATAGGAAGTGTTGCAATCGCCATTTCTAATTAGTCCAATTTCTGGGGATACTGTGAGAAAATAGATCCCGTCATGGCTTTGGTAAGCTCTCACTTGCCTAATTTCCCAATAAC